TGCATGCAGTATTTTATGCACTATTTTATCAAACTGTGCAGAATTTTAACAATTGTTACCAGAAATATGTATGTAAATGTCAATTCACAAAGATCATCACACAAGTTATCACTCCTTTATACAGTCAGGTCCATAAATATTGGGACATCAACACAATTCTAACATTTTTGGCTCTATACACCACCACAATGGATTTGAAATGAAACGAACAAGATGTGCTTTAACTGCAGACTGTCAGCTTTAATTTGAGGGTATTTACATCCAAATCAGGTGAACGGTGTAGGAAGTACAACAGTTTGCATATGTGCCTTCCACTTATTAAGGAACCAAAAGTAATGGGACAGAATAATAATCATAAATCAAACTTTCACTTTTTAATACTTGGTTGCAAATCCTTTGCAGTCAATTACAGCCTGAAGTCTGGAACGCATAGACATCACCAGACGCTGGGTTTCATCCCTGGTGATGCTCTGCCAGGCCTCTACTGCAACTGTCTTCAGTTCCTGCTTGTTCTTGGGGCATTTTCCCTTCAGTTTTGTCTTCAGCAAGTGAAATGCATGCTCAATCGGATTCAGGTCAGGTGATTGACTTGGCCATTGCAGAACATTCCACTTCTTTCCCTTAAGAAACTCTTTGGTTGCTTTTGCAGTATGCTTTGGGTCATTGTCCATCTGCACTGTGAAGCAGCGTCCAATGAATTCTGAAGCATTTGGCTGAATATGAGCAGATAATATTGCCCGAAACACTTCACAATTCATCCTGCTGCTTTTGTCAGCAGTTACATCATCAATAAATACAAGAGAACCAGTTCCATTGGCAGCCATACATGCCCACGCCATGACACTACCACCACCATGCTTCACTGATGAGGTGGTATGCTTAGGATCATGAGCAGTTCCTTTCCTTCTCCATACTCTTCTCTTCCCATCACTCTGGTACAAGTTGATCTTGGTCTCATCTGTCCATAGGATGTTGTTCCAGAACTTTGAAGGCTTTTTTAGATGTCGTTTGGCAAACTCTAATCTGGCCTTCCTGTTTTTGAGGCTCACCAATGGTTTACATCTTGTGGTGAACCTTCTGTATTCACTCTGGTGAAGTCTTCTCTTGATTATTGACTTTGACACACATACACCTACCTCCTGGAGAGTGTTCTTGATCTGGCCAACTGTTGTGAAGGGTGTTTTCTTCACCAGGGAAAGAATTCTTCGGTCATCCACCACAGTTGTTTTCCGTGGTCTTCCGGGTCTTTTGGTGTTGCTGAGCTCACCGATGCGTTCCTTCTTTTTAAGAATGTTCCAAACAGTTGTTTTGGCCACGCCTAATGTTTTTGCTATCTCTCTGATGGGTTTGTTTTGTTTTTTCAGCCTAATGATGGCTTGCTTCACTGATAGTGACAGCTCTTTGGATCTCATCTTGAGAGTTGACAGCAACAGATTCCAAATGCAAATAGCACACTTGAAATGAACTCTGGACCTTGTATCTGCTCATTGTAATTGGGATAATGAGGAAATAACACACACCTGGCCATGGAACAGCTGAGAAGCCAATTGTCCCATTACTTTTGGTCCCTTAATAAGTGGGAGGCACATATGCAAACTGTTGTAATTCCTACACCGTTCACCTGATTTGGATGTAAATACCCTCAAATTAAAGCTGACAGTCTGCAGTTAAAGCACATCTTGTTTGTTTCATTTCAAATCTATTGTGGTGGTGTATAGAGCCAAAAATGTTAGAATTGTGTCAATGTCCCAATATTTATGGACCTGACTGTATATCACTAACTTCTGCCTGATGACAATTGTGAGGTTGTGTGACGTACTCCTTGGGGAGATCAGGAAAAGGAGATAAAATACCTCCTAATGAGATAAATACCAAGAAATATAAAAGTTTTTAAATAGTTGAATATCCATTTCTTGCTAGAAAAAAAAAAATGAGATTCTACATCAACTAAAGATTTACACGAGAAAGTTACTGTAGGAGAATTGACCCAAGTAGCAATCTTACTTTTCCTGTAGGCGACTATCAAAAGTCTGGAAAGTGTACTCATGGAACTTTGGATTGGCAGGGGGGACTGGCCAATCAAAAGATGGTGGTGGTTTGACAATACTTATTCTCATATAAATAGAATACTAGTAAATTGTGGGACACACATTTCTTGGTGCAGGAGTCTGTAGGCTTAGAAAGTTTTGGGGGCGTATAAAAATTGAGAAAACCCAATAGATGCAGGTCTTGTGCTGTCGGCCTGGGGTAGTAAACTAGACCGACTCTCAAACATTGTGAATGATACATTTAAGCTTAGATTGTAGATGTTAAACAATATATCATGATGCTGCAAAAATGGCTGCAGTTCTTAACCTTAAGCCTGGGTTCACACTGATGCGGTGAGGAATTTGCATAAGCGTTTTCTGTGCGAATTCCACACCGCATTAGAATCGCACCCAATTCATGCGAATCGCTGCGGGTGTGTATGTTAAGTAAACAACACCCCAAAATCGGTCCACAAAATGTGATGTGCAGAATCAGATCACATAGGTGTGAATATGCATGCAATCCGATTCTAGTGCGGACCCAAAAAAGGGTCATGCACCTTTTTGGTGCGGATGTGATGCGATTTGAGCCATACGTAATGTATGGTTCAAATCGCACCGCACACAATTTGCATGTGATTTGCACAGGAATGTGGTGCGATTCCTGTGCGAATTACATGCGATGTACCGCACTGCATGCTTGTGAACCTAGCCTAATGGAGAGCAGGCAGTGTGCTCTCTGAATGTGGTCAATCAGAAGCTGCAAGGGTGAAAAAATATAGATACTACAGCTGCAAAAAAAAAAAAAAAAAAAAATCTCCTGCGGTGAAGGAGAGCAGATATACTGCATTCTTGGTGTACATTACTTTAACTAGTAAGGAGCCTTGGTGGATTTTCAATAAAGCAGAAAGCAATAAAGAAGAACCAAAATATGTTCCTTAAAGTGGTTGGAAACCTCATGAAATATGAACAAAGCATATCCCTCCATAGTGCGTACTTGTCTCAATTAAGAGCTCTAAGTGTCATTTTTGTCTGCTGCTTTATTTCTCTGATATCTGCATGAGTCACTTTTGATAAGTTTTCCTGACACCAAGAGAAAAATGGTGACAGGGGAGGGAGCTCCAGTTGATTGATAGCCATAGCTCTGTTCCTTTGAGCTTCGTGAAGAGGGGTCTGTCTCTTCCCTCCAATCAGCATTCGGAACTCTCTTCACTGAGCTCTGATTTGTGTAATTTCAGTACAATCAGTGTGGACATCGCATCTTGACAGAAGTCAGTCCTTTGATCAACTTCTGTGGAAGGGACAAGTTGGAAAACTTTTTACATTTTTTCGATCAGCAGCTGCAGACACTGATTAGTGTATCTGACAGTGGCGGGTCCCACTATCTGAATACACTGTTTGGGGAGGGGGGGATTGGGGGGGGTTATGGGGGAGGATTTCTGCAGCCACCTCATTTTGTATGGATAGGGGAATCTGGCTGAATGAAAAATATATAGACTACCTGACTAATGCCAGCTTGAGTCTGACTAAATGACAGAATGAGATAAGACTGGGATAGGAAAAAGACAGGAATATTGGGAAGTTCCAAATGAATGTCAGGACCAACTTACAAAAGAAATTTCAAAGTCACAGTGGAATGTATGCTGGAACATCCTGTAAGACATCTAAATGAAAGCATATTTCTTGGTGTTATTGTACATTATGCGGCAAATCTTTTGTAACCAATATTACCGACTTTCATTTTGAGTGTTAAACTGTTATTATGGAGGTCAGATCAGTGTAATGTGTTGATCATTAAACACAATATTGATTTTCTGCCAGTCCTGTCTTACTTTGTACATGCACTTGATTGTTTTAAAGAGGACCTTGCACTACAGGCAAGGTCTCCTTTTTTTACTTTGCCCTCCCCCATGCCTAAACGCTGATTGATTATAAAAAAAAAAACCTGTAGAGGAAAAAATAAATATACTTGCCTTTTCCCGGGCATTCCATACTGCAGGACAGTTCAATCCAGATCCCAGAGAATGCTGAAGGAACCAAATCTTGCATGACAATGCTTTAGCATAGCGCATTCCCTAGGATATCACTGGAAGGAACCAGGGGCGGACTGACAACTCATGGGGCCCCTGGGCAATAGGGGATCAGGGGGCCCCTGTGTCCTTGCCCAAACTCAAAAAAGCCTATGAAAAAGGTACCAGGGGCATCTCATGGGGCCCCCTACTGACCCCTGCCCCTCAGGCAGTGCCCGAGTTTCCAAATGGTCAGTCCGCCCCTTGAAGGAACATGATGTCACTCTCACCTAGGTGCATTTTTAGTGCAAGGTTTGATTTTTTTGCTGGTCTGTTGATTGCTGAATCACAGTATGATCCTACTAGAACTGCTGTACCCATGCACTCATGCTATTAAGTTTCAGTTATGTATGTAGTTTATCGAAAAACCCGTAGAAATATTGCATTAAGCTGGCTATACATTGTACAAATGTTTTATTCAATTTTAATTAGATTTACTTTCCGCTATGTAGTGCAAGGGCCTGCCTGATTGCATACAAATTAAAAATGCTCAGGTATGACCTCATATATGGTTTTGATACATCTAAAAGGAGTATAATGTATGGTCAGCCTAACTCATACAAAATTATTAACTTGGTGTTATACATTCTTAAAATTATCAGCATAGCAAGGAGTACTTCTCGTTTACCTTGAACTGACAGAATGAAAAGAATTGAGCAGAACATTAGGCAGAATATCAAGGTGTATTTCATTTTACACATTTATTAGATACACGGATCCATTCTCTCTGCACTGTATGCTTTCATACTTTGAAAAAGAGCCACTCTCTGACACCAACCCGAGGCATAAGATTTGAAAGGTCCAAAAGTCTATTAAAAAAGTTTAAAGCAGTAGCTATGGATTAAACAGGCTCACGTCTTTACATACATAATCCAAGCCCTGTTCTACAGGTGAGTAAGCCTACCTCAAGGATTCTTTTGGCTTCCTCGCAGGCCCTTTCCACATTGGACAAATTAGTCTCCATTTGTTGGCTCTGTTCATTCTTTGCCTCCAGTTCTTTTCTCATTTTAGTCACCATTTCCTCAATTTCAGCTGGGCTGGGTTCCCCAGAAAGTCGCTTTGAGGTCTCTTTCTGGATTTCCTTCTCTAAAGCCTCAGTCCTGTCACTCAGCTCTTTGATTTTCAAGGTGTAATCTTCCATTGTGGTTCTTAAGTTTCTCATTTTCTCCTGCCTTTTTTGCTCATCGGCTCTCTCTCTCTCCAGTTCATCCATCCAAAACATTTCCTCTCCAAGTTCCGATTCATTTCGGCGGATAAGCCTCTCAAAGAAAGCCACTTCATCCTCATCCTCCTCATGGGGTCCACCAACCTGCCTCGTTCCCATGTCTGGAGGTCCTTGCCTAAAGAGACATTCTGCATTTCCAAGGCTTTTAGCTGTTCCTGTTGTTGTAACACCATCTTAAATATATCATCCTTACTGGGTTGCCTAGGAGAACTGTCTTTTGCAACTGTACCATTTTGCTGCTTCTGCCTGTGTTTTAGCAAAAGGTCACTTGAACTCATAGGTCCCAAATTAAAAGTCAATGATTTTTTTGGTTCTTTCGACCTTGTGACCTCTGTACTGTGTGCTTTAGGATTAAGAGGCAGGCTGGACCTTGCAAAAGTCCTCTCTGGAGGAAGTGGACCACTGTCTGAGGACGGGCGTTCAGCTAAGCTGGGCCCTGTGCGTTTCAGTATGAAATTGACGTCATTGGCATATTGTCCACTCTTGGACAAGTACTCCAAAGGTCTCTCGTGGGGCAGAAGCTGTCTCTCCTTGTCCCGTAGTGTCTGGATTAAGACATAGCGCCCTGTCTGGCCTGTAAGAAAAGAAGTATATAAGATAAATCTGTAGTAACACCAATTTATGCACTATAGGGAGAGTGTCTCATGAAAGTTTTATCTTTATTAAATAGTATGAGATTGGACTCATGTACATGCTATAACCTGGACTCACATACATACTATACACATGATAAAAAGCTAAGTATAACTATGTCTTCATTTCTTTGACTATTACTTTACATAAGAACAGTGCATTTTAAACTGTGCATTGGCTTAAAAGGATAAATTCACCTTCAGAAGCATGTTACATGTTGCACCCGATTTTAGGATGGAACATGTAACAAGTTCCCACTCCCTGAGCCACTGCCCACTCCACTGCATCTAGTGACAGCTAGTGGAGGATCTTCTCTTCCCACTATCTGTCACATCATTCCTTCACAGAATTCTGTGAATGAAAAACTACAAGTACACATGTCCTTTGCAGTGGTTGGCTTGTAGTTCTCAATGAATTACCGCAGCACTGTTGAGCGCTGTGGTAGTTCATTGATTCTTCCTGTCAATATGTATCTGCTTGCCCATATGAGGTACGAGCAACCAGATACACCAACAAGTCTGCAGGAGTCTTGCATGGCACACGTGATCTGCTGATCGTTAGTGCAATGCTTTATAAGCTCCTAGTAAAAAAACAAAAAAAAAAAAAAAAAAACACTTTTTTTTTTACCTGCAAAAAGATATGCATTTATTTTTTTTAAAAAAGGTGAACTTATCCCTTAAGTTGGCTATACAGGCATAGAATTTTGGCAGATTCCTTCTAAATTGGTCAAAATTCATTCTGTGGGTGGCCCTGTAAGACAAACCCAGATAAAAATAGTCAATCTTTTAAATCAACTTTTGTTGAAGAAGCGGAGTCGAGAATTCTCGGCAAAACAGCTCCTGTATCCACGTAAATGTAGTCACTGTGTGGGTATTCTGACAGCCAGTGGTGCTGTCTGTCAGAATACAATAGCCTGCAGCAGGACATTTGTCCATCCATGCTGTTTAGTGTAGATAGAAGAATCTCTTAGATTTCTTTTGTTCAGCATGCATATGGGTGTATGACCAGATTTGGTGTTGTTGTAGATGGCTGTCAAATAAAAGATGTTCAAGAAGTCATGTAGTGACCTTACTGTGAGTTTTGGTTGCCAATATATCTGTCAAGATGACAACTGCTTGGTAAATCAGAAGGTCACATGTGTGGCTAGCAATCTAATGGATTTGTTCACATGGGCATTAAAACTCCAAGATATGTCAATGTTTCTAGGTGTCAGTAAGATGAAGTTTGCTCACCTATGGCCTGGGCCAGTGCAATGACCACGTCCTGACACGATGTTTGCTCTGTTACTCCACATACCACTCTCTGTACTCCATCTACCCAGACTTTCAACTCCATGCTGAAAAGGTAAGGCACAGGCAGTGTGGGAGAAGGCTGCTTGATGTTGAAGTCTCTAGCTTAGTTTCTCCTCATCACAATTTCCTGGGTATTTTCCTAGAATCAATATAATATATTAATAAAACAGGAATTGACTGGTGCAAGAATAATATACAGGTGTATGTCATAAAATTGAAGAAAAAAAAAAAATCTGAGTCTTCACCCATTAGCTGCCTTGAGTTGGTCTTTAACTTCATGGAAAGTTAAAAACTACCTACCTTTCTTCCTCAGCACTGCAAAGGTGAAAAAAAATCACCTTCCCCTCTCTCTCCACCAGCTGGTGCTCTCCTTTTCCTTCCGACACTTTGCGTTCTGGACAGGCCCCTAGGCCTGGTTCACACCAATGCGTTTTATTAGTTCTTTTTGCAGAAACGTACTATAGTCCATTTAACATGGTTTCCTATGGGACACTTTCACATCTATGTGTTTTTGAGCTGCTGCATTTGTGGAAAGGATCAGGGACCTTTTTAAATGCAAAATGGTATATTTTTGTTTCAAGAGACTTCAATGGATATGCTGCAGAAAATGCATGAAGAGTGTTTTTTTATGCACTCTGCATTTTTTTAAATCTGCCCAACAACAAAGTGGCCAAACCAAAAAATAAATAAATGAAAAATCAAAAGGCAGAACGCATCAAAAAACATGTGAAAAAACGTGCCAGAAATGCATGTGCAAAAAACGCAAAACGCACCACAAAAACACTGCAGACATGGATCAAACGCAAACTGCATAGGTGTGAACTAGGACTTACAGTCCTCAATACAATGCAGCACTGTTGGTTCTGCATTGTATGTGATGGCATCCGAGTGCCTGCAACCAGCAGTGCACCAAAGAAAAGCAACTTCAAGGGACAGGGAGGAAGAGGACTGCAACAGCCAGGGAAAAGGTAGGTAAAACTGCATTTAAAGTTACCCTAGACAAAAATGAGCACTTAACCTTTGCAGGAGGATGGATCCCACTGAAAGGGTAGTTTTGAATTCCCTCTCCCCCCGAGTTAGGTTTTAAGACCTTCGGGTGTTAATAAAGTCTTCATGGTTATGTGGATACACCCAAATCGAAAACACCATTACTTCAACATTCTCATAGCAGCAGACTTAAAGGTACTCTGTCAGCAGTGTGATTGATGGCGAATTGTGTTTATAAACAGAATGGCCTGGGCACAATAGAGAAAGAGATGCAGAATGGAAGGAAGGCCTGCCCAGAAATGCCGAGACTCAAGTCATGAGTCAGAATGAAAAAATCCAAGATGTAACATGCAAATCAAGGTACGAGATATTTATATCCATGAATGCACAGCACATCCTACTCAATGGAGTCACAACAGCAGCCACATAGGAATGGAAGTCATACCGCGTTCATCAAATGTATCATTTTAAGTCACCTGTTTGCTTAGGGTGTTTTCACCATGTCATAGATCATGCTTGTCACAATCTAATACACACAACGGAATGCCCTTCCTTAGCATGTTCCAGCAAGCACTATTCACACAAGTTCATTTACAGCTACTGGACATAATTCTGCTGTAAAACCACTAAGTACACTCTGTAAATGATTAATAGGCACATTGTAGGTGATTCCGGTTATTTCCTTTCATTTAAGCAAATTGAAAGACTGCTTGTAGAAATAAAGGATCATCTATAAACAGATTCCTACTTTTAAGAATTATGTGCTTTAAATACATTTTTACCCATAAATATGGCACAGTCCTTGCCCGATTCAGTAGATTTCAGCCAGCTCAGACCATGATCTTCAAGTCTGTGGGTTGGAGTAGATACTTATGACCAATTATTCTCTGGGAGACTAGAAATTGGTCAAGCTAGATTTAGTGCTTGTGTTATGGTTTAGTTATTGTGAGCTCTGCAAGCCTGATTTGGTGGAACCATCTAAACTGTCCACTGAGGCTTATGGTTAGGATATTATGCAGCAGGTGAGACTTTGTCACTCTAAAATGCTCATCAAACACCTTTGTCCATCTCAATCATCACATGTACTCTGAACCAGCATTCAGTTGTTCGTCCCTATAGGCAACGTCAACTATTCCATTCACCATGACAACATGGGTTTATTATTAAAGCTGGTTCACACTCAGAATCTTGTACATTTCTGCATAGAAACCAATCAGCTTCCAGGTTTTATTGCTAAAGCCTAATTGAACAAGCGGAGGTTAGAATCTGATTGGCTACCATGCGCAGATGCATGAGATTCTGAGTGAACCAGCTTTAGTAAATTAACCCCACAGTGTGGATCTGACTGTGTACCTCAAGATTATAAAATTGTTTAGTGGTAAACTAAAAACTTTTATTCCCCCCAACTGTCAGCAACACTAACACCGACAGTGGGGCATTTGTCCTCCCGCTGACACCAGTGATGGGGCACTATTCAATCCACTGATATCTATGATGGCACAATTATTCCTCTCTCCGACACCAATGATGGGATACTATTCCTCTCACTGACACCAATGATGTGCTATACACCTCCCACTTACAACAATGATGGGGCTCTATTCACTGAAACCAATGATGGGATACACTATTCCTCCCAATGACACCAATGATGGCTGCACTCTTCAATCCATTGACACCAATGACAGGGCACTATTCCTTTCACTGACACCAAAGATGGGGCACTATCCCTCTTATTGACACCAATGATCAAGTGCTATTCCTCTCACTGATACCAATAACGGGACACTCCACCTAATTCCAATGCTGGGGCATGGTTTACTCTCAATTATGCCAGGGCGCTTTCTTTTCCCACTGGCCACAGTTCAACCCCTCAAAAAGTTTGAAGGACAGTAAACTAGGCCTTTGCTTAGAAACTTTGAAGACTCCTCTGCACCACTTTATATTCTTGGAATGTGTACCCACAATCACAAACTTCACATACAGCAAAAGTGCAGGTGAAATCCAATGTAACAACACTGTAATGTAGATACCAAGTAAAAGTATAAGATGGATAAAGACCCCACTGTTTACATGTATTTCCCAGAATCTTTCTACTGCATGAAGGAATCAGGGCAGTCGTACCTTTGAAGGCAAGGACATTGTAAATTTATTTAGCAACACAAACTCATCATTGATGTCATATGCATATGACTAAACAATGAAAAGAATGCAGAGACAGCTAGTTAAACATTATGAATCTAGTGGATGTCAACATTAAAAAAAACAAAAAAAAACGAACTGATGTAGCAAGATCCAAACTTGATGCCTGGACAAAAACTACATGGAATCAGCCTACTCATTGCTGTTCTATTTTTATCTTCATGACTCATTAACTAAATTATTATAAGCTGCTCTGATGACACGCCCAAGTACAGGAACATATATAGGAGGAATTAAGATTGTAGCTGCTGAAGTTTATAGATCAGTTTCTTAAGCCGGCCATAGATGGATCAAATCTTGGCTGATTCAGCAGGGACTGACCGAGATTTGAACAAACTCTGGGCAGGCCGATTGTACTTAAAGTCGATCCATCAACTGACTTTAGTACAACCAGCCTGATGGATTTTTTTCATGCAATCACTTCCAGCGGCTATAGGCACCAGGAAGGCTCCCTGCTGGTAGAACACACTAGTAGGGTGGGAGGGATTCACCCATCAACATTGACCACGTTAGCGGGGTAATCAAACGTGGTGGAAGGAAAGAAAACTACATAATCTATTGGCTGCTTTACACTATACCACTTTCCACACAAATAATGCACTAAAGAGATCATATATAGATGGCCCTGCCCAACTTTTGCCACAGCACAGCATAAGTACTGTGATTAGCTACAGGCTGGAAGCCCCACAGAAATCAATGAGAAGCTGACAGCTTCCATCCAGGGCCAATGATTCACAAGTAATCGCTGCTTTGGATTGGATCGATTTCCCTTCACTTTCCCATAGATACATCAGAAAGTAAATGGAAATCTCTAAAAAATGACTGAAATCCTTTACTAAACAGCTGCCTGAAACAATCATCTTAATTGGAATATTATTCCTGATTCAATGGTGACTCAAGATTTAGGATTTCCCCTCACTTTCTACTCTGTTACCAATGGCCACATAGACCAATAGAGAGGGTGAATTTCCTCAGCAGTAACACAGAATATCATAAAATAAGTGAGGGTGTTGATAACACTTTCCTACTCTATCCACAACTAAAAAAAGGCTTCATATTCCCTTTAAGAATTCTGATACAAACACCTTGAACAGAATTCAGTTGGCGCTGCTATTGACACAGATCCATGGGTAACAAAACCCCCTACTTAAAAATTGTCGCACATTTGAAGAGGCATCTGACTCTCACAAGCATTGATGCCTCAGTTATACTGGCTACAGCAGCCTCTGAAACTTTTTAAGAAGGAAGAACCCATGAAATAACTTTCAGGTCTCAAGGAGCCTCTACCCCAAATTGCTATATCTATCTAAAGCTCATGGTACATTGGTGTAGTAGTTGGTGGGAAGAATGCTTCTTTCATGTTGGTCAATAGACAGAATTCTTCTCCTAGCAGATAGCTAACAAGATGACCATCGTCAGCCATTGAAAATTTGGGAAGAAGCAATTGCTTAGAGCTCAAGGAAACCCTAGCTACCTCTTGAAGAACCCTAGGGTTAAAACGGGATCCTGGTGGAGAAAGGAATACAGTGATCATCAACTGCAACATTCAATATGCAAGACAAGTGACAAATTTTGTTGGATGAACTCAAGTAGCAGTGTTATTGTAGAAAACTAGCAAGAAAGAAAAGAGATGGATTGAACTATTACCACAAGCGATGATCCTTCAAACACTCCAAATCATAACAAGCAAATCCAGTTGACCAAGTAGCCTTTAGAGAGAACATTTGCTTTGCCTTTTTCAGACTACTTGTTTCTAGTAGGAAAGTGCCTCTTCAGAGGAAAGCCATTGTACAAATATAATAGCTGTCATTTGTCAGCCATTATGCATCTCTCACAGTCAAGGCACGTGGAAAA